ACCCCACCCACCTCTTTCCATTTTTGGAAATGCTCCCTTATATACACTTACTTCTATATATTAAAATTTAATGTTTTGTTTGATAATTAAAAACTGATCAGATAATAAGATAATTATTTTTCACAATAATTGAAAATATGTGTTCACCACTGATGGAGATCAAAAAGTTCTGTATACAGTTTTTCAAGATTAAAGTATTTTGGTTAAAGAGTACAGGAAGTAAAAACAAGCACTACTGTATGACAGGGGATTGTGGGAATTTTATAACATTTTGAAATTATAAATATGAAAAAAAAAAAAAAAATCAAAACTCACTTTAACACAAGTTTGGAAGCTACTCAAGGCCAAATTCTCTACTTCCCAAACTTATTTCTAATACTTTTCAGTGGTGTAGGAGATTCCAAAGCTTCTTGAGCAATTACACTAACTGATACTTGTTTTGTGTTTATTTTGTTGGGTATAAGTTAACAACTTAATTTTTGGATTTTTTTAGACAACTACAACATCTTATAATAGTTTTTTTTTATATCTATTCATGTTTTTGTAATAAATTTGTTACACTAAAATGACATTAATTAGCTTTGGATATCAATACAGTGTTAAAAAATTCTTATCCTAATTTTGATGTGTTGTGACATGAGTAAAATTGAAGTTAATCCAGTTGGCAACTTAAAAGTTGTTGTTAAGTAGTTTGCTAATATAAACTGTATCTCAACCACTATATCTGTCATATCCCAGATGGCTTGAGAAGCTCTGGTATTGAGCAAAAATCTCTAGTAAAGTACTTTATATAGCAGTTATAATGTGGTTGACATATTATTATATGCTTGTCTCTACATTTACTCTATGTTCTTATTAAATAACTATACTTGAGTGGTTGTTTTGAGTTAGCTAACAGTTATCCACCAAACAATTTTCTCTTAAACTTGCTCTAAATGCTATTTTACAGGTACATGAAATACAGCAAGCAATAATTTGAAAATTAAATCTCTGAATTCCCAGTATGCAAGTCTACAAGGGTATTCCTCTTAACTCTCTCAACACGGGGTCAGTCAATGTGACGACCTCGTAACCATAACTAAAAAATCATAAATTACTACAACAGTACCATAGAATTCAACTATAATTTATCAAGCTTAGTAAACAAGATGTATTTTACTCTAAAAAATACAAAATTTTGACCATACTAAAGACACAACCAACCTCATTGAAATCTTGGTTCAAAAGAAAGAAATGGTGCTAGCCATGTTAGAAAGGCTGAGAAAACCACTAATGGGACATTCTGATTGGTTATTCGTGTCGACAAATATAGAAAGAATAACAGAATGAAATTATTTACAGTTTGCAACAGTAGTATTTCATTTAATCAAAAGATAAACTGATCTTGCCCTGGAATGAAAAATAATGCAACACTGGAATGAAATGCATAATCATTTAGTGTAGTAGCAACCTTCACATATAAATTTTACTTTTGTGAGTCTTATCTGATTCTATTATCTTGGATACAGTTTTCACATTCTATTATTTTGAATATAATTTTGCAATATTTATTATAGAAACTTTCAATAATTTTTTCTCAGTAAATGTTGCCTGGAAAATAAATATTTCTAAAATAGATTAAATAAAAAGAGACAATTTACTCAAATGTTGACAAAAAATCAAGTAAAAATTTAGAGCATAGTAAGTTGTGGAAAGTCCTATCAATAAGCTCCAGTACACTAAGTGTTTCTACCAATTGACTCCCAGTAACAGAACCAAAACCAATAGTCGGGAAAGTCCTATCAATAAGCTCCAGTACACTAAGTGTTTCTACCAATTGACTCCCAGTAACAGAACCAAAACAAATAGTCGGGAAAGTCCTATCAATAAGCTCCAGTACACTAAGTGTTTCTACCAATTGACTCCCAGTAACAGAACCAAAACCAATAGTCGGGAAAGTCCTATCAATAAGCTCCAGTACACTAAGTGTTTCTACCAACTGACTCCCAGTAACAGAACCAAAACCAATAGTCGGGAAAGTCCTATCAATAAGCTCCAGTACACTAAGTGTTTCTACCAATTGACTCCCAGTAACAGAACCAAAACCAACAGTCCCACAATTCCTTGAATCTCTCTCCTAAAAACAAGGATTACACTGACAGTCTTCCTAACTTTAAGGATATATAAAAGTAAACCATACAAGTTCCCACTAACTATTTTCTGAGCTTTATCTTGCTGGGGCTTGGGGTTTTATTCTTTACATGTAACAGTTGTCCAAGTATTTCAAACACTTTTTCTTTGTTGAAGTTGGTTAGAAACGAAGACCCTTTTCCAAAATGACTGAGAACATGGTGGGTTCAATTTCTAATACCCCTGAAAAGGACCTCAAACAAATTAACATGTCTTCATTTCCTTAGATTCCAATCTTCTCAAAATATGGATCCCATTAAAAATCCTCAAATCATCATTTGGGTCCCCATAAAAAGATTGAATACTGATTTTAATGTTCACTAGTTTTTATTAACAAACCACCCAATGCTAAAAAGTGTTTAAATTGATATTACTGTCCAAGGCCTAAAGTTAATAAATTTTGTACAGATGCAACATATATCAAACACTATCTAGATTTGTTATAATACTATTTTCTGTGTTTTTAGGTTTAATTATATTTTTCTTTAAATTTCTTTTTTTTTTAAAGTTATAAGTTTCTCATGTTAATTAACTAAGTATTAAAATTTTCTGGTCAGATTTTAATATCTAGCAATTTAAGTGTTGATATTCCATTTCAATACTTGATGTTGATTAGGTAATAAAGATGTTTATCATAATTCTTGTTTGACTTGTCTGTTATAAAACTTCATCAGCTTCTGAAAGCAACTTTCTGGATAAGTGACCTTCAATTCCAGTTACTACCGACTGTTTTTGTTTAGTGATTTGGAACACTTTCTACTGAATATTTGTTTAATTATACTGATAGCTTCTGTTTCAAATACAATTTGACTTTTTTATGTCAGATTTAACAAAACTGTACTATTTTCTTTAGAAACAACAAAGTTCCTTCATTTTAAATACAGTTAATAAAAATGTCTCGTGAAAATAACTTGAAAATTTAGTCTTAAAAGTGTTTTGGCATGTAAAACTGTATAAAATTTAAATCTTTCTACATATTTTTTAAATACACATCAACAAGATACAAAACAAATTCGGATCATTTTGGCATCTGTCATTGTTAAACTTTTTTAAGTTTTTATGACATTTTAAATGGGCAAAATGGTGAATAAACATTTAACTAAACAAGATTACATGATGTATAAGTTTTTTAGACAGTTTTTTTTTACAAAGTTAGAATGTAAACTGCATACCAAGTACATGTTTATTTAATAGTATTCCACATGTCTTTCTTGAAGTATTCAGCAACGATGGATAATTATGTAGTGAGAAAACTAAATATGTCACCAAAAAATGAGAGAGGAAGAAACAAATATGGCTTTTACTTAAATCATAACAGCAAATACTTTTTCTTTGGTTCAAATGCCACAAAAAGAGCACTGTTTAAAACAAGATGTAAATTATATTAAAATGGACAGTAACAAATTTGAATCTTACAGAAATATGCAAAAAATAAACTACATTCTTTACAGCTGATCCCATTTATTGGTGTTTCAAGTCTACATTATAAGTAAGACATTTTCATAAATTAATCGTTATGATCAGCACAAATACAGATAAACTAAGTTACAAAATGCTGTTTAATTGCTAGAATATTTATTCCATAACTAACACCTGCTTTTGACTAACAAACGGTGCCATGGCCTTTTCAATTGCTTCTTTGTAATCTCGAAATGGTACTAATCGACTGTTAGGTGGCCTAAGCGCACCCTTTCGAGCTAGGTCACAGACAAAATCTAACATTTTCCTTCGCTCAGGACTGTCAGGGTGTTCTATGTTCCACTGAGTCATCCAGTAACCAAGGATTCGTGTATCTTTAAAGATCAGTGCACTGGTTGGTACGGTAACAGGTTGACGAGACATTCCACCATACGTCACCATGGATCCTCTTTTTGCAAGATGTCGCATCATTTCCAGGGCATTTTTCCACCAACACAATTAAGTGCAAGTTTGGGTTTGGGAATTTTCTTGAAAATGTCATCCATAACTTGAGATCTATATTATTTAATATAAAAAATAATATGATTGAATAATTATAACCTAAGAAGTTAAAATTACGTAAAAGAGAACATACACAGCATCATCACTTTTAGTACTCAAATGATGGTGAGAATTCTTAAAAAAAGCCCAATGTATCTTAATACATCAAAATACATGCAATTAATGGTCTACAATTCTCTGCACAAACACACACATGCTAAGACACTGGCACTTTCTTTGTTTGAGTGTTAGATCTTAAGACTTCTTATATCAAATTAGTTTGATGATAATCATCCAAAAAAAAAAGATTCTCTAAAGCAGCTGCTTGTACTATTTCATTGCATCATTAGTACTTGCTATATTTTGTATAGTATCCTATTTTAACATCACCTAAAGCTTCAAATAAAACAAGTAACAATAAGTATCACCTAAAGCTGTTTTACTTTATCATCCAATATAATACTTCATAAAATAAAAATTGATAAAGCATTGTTGCTTGTGATAACACTGAAGTGGAATGATGATATTATATATGCCAATCTTGGATTAAGTTAACAAAGTAAAAAAAATGATTATGAAAGCTTGAAGAGTGACTTCTTGTTCATTTTGATAAAGATGGAACCAAACTCAATATTTTAACCTTTTGGGTCAGGTTTTTAACTTTTAAAAACAATTAAGAAAAAATCGAGTACTTGTAATTTCATATTTTTATTTATGAAAAATGTAAGCTCTACTAGTGTTAATCAAAAACAGGCTGGATAATTGCTAAAATGAGTCTGAAGTTTGTATTAAACTGGCATATACAAAGGATTGAGTATGTTTTATCAAAAAATGATTTGTTATATGCAAGTCAGCAAGCAAAGTGGCAACCATAAATCATGTAAAGTTGAAGTGGAATGAAATGTATCACACCTACACTTTGACCTTGTTTGGCATTTCATAGGTAGTGTTGATTGCTTTTGGGAAGAAAATAATACAAAACATTCATACACTCAGACTATAAAGATGTGACGAAACTGGAAATTTAGTTCCCAAGATGGGCATATCTCTTGTATTTAATAGCACTGGAAAACAAAAAAATATGGATCAACTTGGGACACCAGGATCATCCTGAAGAAGACTTGCAACAAGTTATACTTCAACTATGGTACACAAAGTGAGGTATCTTTTACCAAGTGAGAATCTATGAACACACAGGTCAGTGGCAAAACCCATCCATGTGTCCTATGCATTATTATGTAATATAATCAAGAAGGATCTCCATCTGGAAAAGCTATACAAATCATGCGTACACAAGTTGCTTCCATGATACTTATGTTCAATTGTCATACCTTAAGCAGCTGAAGAATGAAATAGGTATTCATGCTATTCCATACTAAGAAATTGGATTGTTAAAATACGTGCTAGAAAACCATTGTTCTCATACAATAGATGGCTTATGGAAAGCTTGCAGGGAGGAGTAGTGTGTATTATACATGACAGTCTTATGCAGAGCCTTTTTCAGTGGAAACTACAAAGCAGGGCTATTGTAAAGATGCATGATCATCAAATAGAACATGATCTGAAGTGGTAAGCCTCCAAAATCGCTTTAATATAAAGTCCTCAACCCTATGATTTAATTGTTCTATTTACACACACACAAACACAAAACTTGGTTCTAGTACAGACTTGGTTCTAGTACAGACTTGGTTCTAGTACAGACTTGGTTCTAGCCAGACTTGGTTCTAGCTAGAAAGGTTGGGAACTACTGGTTTAAATAATATAAAATGATTTCTGAAACATTATCAAAACATTGCAAAAACTGGGGGCAGCATTGAGGATGATATGGAAAAGGAAAAATGTCTATGACGAAAAAAAACACTGATGTACCATGGCCACCAAAAGGTACTTCAGGTATAAAGAGGGTGGACGTTTAAGTTTCCTGAAAACAGAAGAACATGTGTTAAGATAAGAATGTAAAAGCGTACATTTGCAAACATAACAAACTAATTTTTCTGTAAAGTAAATATAAAGATAACAGTGTTACAATAGCTACTTGTCTTGCTTGAAAGCACAGTTCCAAGATCTCCTTAACTAGATTAGTGGAATTAATTCTTCAAATTGAAATATAATAAATGACCTTCTAGAACAAAAACGTTCATCACAGAATGTCTTCACTCCAGTATATGCAGTACTCCAACAGTGTTGTGTGAATGATGAATTACCATGAGGTTACTATTCACACTGTAAAGACTTTTGAGTTGGTTAAATCATTTATTGGAGGCCTTTAATATTGGTAAATCATTAAGTGTTATTGTTTTCTTCATTTCTAGTTGTGTTTACAATCACCTGATTAAAACTAGAACTTAGAATAATGTTACTTGTTTAAATACAATATCTTAATGAAAAAGATGGTTGGTCAGATTGTGTTAGACTAGAAGCTCCAAAGGTTTAAATGTTTTACTATAAATGTTGATTTTTATAAAATAATAAGAAAAACATTTACTTAAAAGATTTACTTGGTTTCATTTTATTTCTTTTGAGACATATGTGTGTGTTCCGCAAAGATTTCAAAGATAGTGGGCCTTTCAGTTTATGCTTCTTTGAAAGATAGTGGGTCTTTCAGTTTATGCTTCTTTGAAAGATGGTGGGCCTTTCAGTTTGTGCTTCTTTGAAAGATGGTGGGCCTTTCAGTTTGTGCTTCTTTGAAAGATGGTGGGCCTTTCAGTTTGTGCTTCTTTGAAAGATGGTGGGCCTTTCAGTTTATGCTTCTTTGAAAGATGGTGGGCCTTTCAGTTTATGCTTCTTTGAAAGATGGTGGGCCTTTCAGTTTATGCTTCTTTGAAAGATGGTGGGCCTTTCAGTTTATGCTTCTTTGAAAGATGGTGGGCCTTTCAGTTTATGCTTCTTTGAAAGATGGTGGGCCTTTCAGTTTATGCTTCTTTTTTTTCTTTGTAATTTCAGGCTGGCATGGCCAGGTGGTTAGGGCGCTCAACTCGTAATCTGCGGGTTCAAATCCCCGTCACACCAAACATGCTCGCCCCTTTCAGCCGTGAGGGCATTATAATGTTATGGACAATCCCACTATTCGTTGGTAAAAGAGTAGCCCATGAGTTGGCGGTGGATAGTGATGACTAGCTGCCTTCCCTCTAGTCTTACACTGCTAAATTAGGGATTGCTAGTACAGATAAGCCCTCGTGTAGCTTTGCATGATATTCATAACAAACAAACAATTTTTTTAATTTTCAGTGGACGATACCTTGAGTGCAGTTTTTGATGAATCTGGAGATGAAGAGGAGCAAGATGCAATTGTCACTCAAGTTCTAGATGAAATTGGAATTGAAATTTCTGGAAAGGTAAAAATGGATGATTTTGATCAACTTCATTTGTGGTTATATAACCTTCATAGAGTTTTAGCATATGGTTTGGGACAGTTAGCTTGGTAATACTTCATTAACCCTATTATGACTGGAGTGCACCGAACAGGTGTCAAATGGACTTTTGCATATCAAAATTTAAGTAAGAAGTATATTTCTAACTCTTTCAAAAGCATTTTACCCAAAGTATTTTAGAATTGATGTTTTATCAATTACACCACTTGGCAGAGGTGGAGGGGGGGGGGCACTTTCTGTCTGTGTGTCCATCTCTCACACCTGACGTCAATCAAACTTGGGCCCCCTGGAGAGTAACATGGGTGGGGGGTTGGTGTTTGAACCTGACTTCCCAAAGAGCCCTATTTCTTCCCCATCTATTGAAAAGGTATGTCTGCTTATAGATATATAAAATGTAACTTTCCGATCAATAATAACAAAATTTAATTATAAGATGAAATATTTTGAATATTATTTTTAAAATGTATCTCAACAAAATTTTGGAAATTTCACTACCTGCAAATGGTAGCAATACTTAATTCAATTACATTAATTTTTTAAGCAGAAACTAGATATTATTTAGAAAGTTTCGTGTAATCTTTCCATATTGAGAAGGAAAAAAATCAGGGATTATACAAAAAGGGTTAATCGTTTAATATGTAAAACAGTAACTCCATTCAATTCAACTAACATAAAAAAATAGAAGAAAAATTCTGCTTTCTGAATTTTTATTATTTATGAATATGTTCAGTAAATATTGTACCCAGATAACTTGAATATTTTACACCATTACCAGTGAAACAGGAATAATCCTTGTAAAGCATTAGAAGGGTTTCAACAGGTGTAAATTGATATTTAGAACACATTCTATAGACTTCAGTGTTACTTTAATATATTTTAAAGTTATATTTATATCAAAAACCACAAAAATGTATAAGATGTGCAGTATTTTTTGGATCCTTTTTTTTGTATTTATTTTTAGATTCCAATGTTTTGAATTTCAAGTGTTAAAAAAATAAGAAGTCATGCAGTAAGAGTCACTGTCAAATAATGAAAATTAAACATTTTTTTACTCTACATTAATAATTACTAAATATAATAAAATCATGTTTAAGATAATAAATCCTCCATTATTGGTAACTATTAAAGAAAAAGAAAGTATTAGTAATGGTGCATCAGTTAGCTCTTCTGGTCCACTAAGATTTTTAGCTGTGACTGTTATCGGTCTCGGTATAGTTAGGTTTATTGTTGTTAAAAAGCTTTTTCAAAATGTATTACTTTCCTAAGAAAATTTTAGTGTCAGAAGAAAAAAGTTGAAAAAACATGGAACAGAATTTAAAAAGTGGAATTTTCTTCATTTAGGTTTCTGATGCCCCTGCTGCCTATCAAGGCAAACTTGGAGAAACGTCCAAGGCTCGTCTTCCAACTGATGAAGAAATTGAAAAGCAGCTTGCCCAACTTAAAGCATAGAAAAGAATATTTACTTCTTTTGTATTATAGTCTTAATGAAATAAAAAAAAAATTCCAGTGTCTTGAAATCAAATGAGAAGAAATCTTATGCTACAAATGTTCTTAAATTATTGAAACAAGAATGATTTTACTGATGTAAAATTATGTTGACCAGCAATGTGACACTGGTAATTTAGATCATACTCCCTCTGTGCCACGTTTGTAGTGTGACTTGCAGAATATGCTTGAAGTAACTTAATTTGTTTAGCTTGTTTTATTTAGAATTACAAGTTGCTCTTAAAGTAATCCATTCCATTATTAGTTAAATATGCTTTGGTTCTATTAGGCCTATGCAGCCTGTTATTTTACTTAAACCTAATGGTGTAGGTGCCTTTGGTATTTACTTAAGCATTACTGATACTAAGCCCTCTTTCTCTGAAGATATTGTAATTATTTTCTTGAAATCTTAAATTCGAAAGAATAGTCTGATAAAATAAGTGTTAATTTCCAAATTTCATAATAGGTATAATTGTGTAACGAAATATTAAAACAACAGATGTAACAATAAAAATATTTTCATCATATTTAATTAAATATGTAAGTGAAAACATATAAAACCAAAGAACTAACTGATGTTTTTAAATGTCACCAACAAGTTGCAACTTGTACGTATGAGAAAAAAAGATATTTACCACAAAGACAAATTCAGGCTTTTATAATTTGTAAGTATTTATTAATTGATTAATAAATCAATTTTCTGGATATATTTGATTGAATCATTAATAAAACTTGAAGGTTAATGAAGAAAACTTTTCCATCTGATCTGACAAAAGAATCCTGCAAAGCTTAGGCCTTGGTTTAATTCACAGAATTGTAAAACATTGCGAATTTGCTAATAAATCTAGAGGTTTTTTTTTATCATGGCTGAAAGATCATTAACCGTAAATAATGATATGGCCAGTTTTTTGTTGTTTTTCTCTAGGCCCCTTGTGGTTCAATGGTTAGCCTGAAGGCTCATAATGCTAAAAACCAGGTGGGAACAGCAGAGATAGCCCATTGTTTAATTTTGTGCTTAACAACAAACACACTACGTTGGGTTTTAATTTGTAAGACTTTTTTGTAGTTGTTGTTTTAATTTTTTTTATCTACTTTCTTCTTCATTTGGGGACCAAAAGTTTAAATTAAGAACAAGTTGAAACTTTACTACACTAACAGGATAGGAAAAGAAAGAAAAGTGCAAGAAACTCAAAATCTGTAGTACTTACTGCCCAAGTTGTACAATAATGTAAGAAAAATGATAAATCTTATACCAAAAGGTTGTATCCTGCAAGATTAAATATTAGAAAATTCACATGAGCATTTAGAAATAAAAGAACAACTAAGAACATAAAGTTAAAGAAACTACCCCTTGGTCTACAGCACCAAAATTAACTGTACTCTTATACTATTCATCCATCCAACAAAAGTTTTAAAGAAACAGCTCAACTTAAGAATATACACTAAACATTAGTCAAGCCATCTCATAAGCTTAAAAAATTAACACAGAAACAATTTCCAAAAGAATAAGACTGCTTTCAAAACTTGAACTCACCACCCCAAATATTTAAATTTCACCTTAAGTTCTTTTCTTCATTACTTAAGACAGCCTACAGGCAGACCATCCAAACTCCAATCAACCAAATTAAGTCACCCTATTCCAGAGAAAAAGGTAATAATTTTAAGTCTCAAATCAGACACCTCTGTACTTTCTCTAGCATATTGAAATCTTTCTTTAAGTAAAGGGTAACGAAACTACATAAGCATTCCACCAGAGTTCCACAAAAGGCAGCAATGATCTTTCCAATCTTAAATTCAAAACCCCTCTATACTGATTCCAGAATTACACCTGCTCCCCACAGCCAATTGTTAATATGGAGGCCCAAATCACTCATCAAAAATCATATACAAATCACTGTCCTTCATCAGATCATCCTCGCATAAGAAGCAAGTCCATTCCAAATAACCCCACGTGTAAAGACTCCACTGATACACTGGGTTATCATCAAAATACCATTGGTTCACACCTTTAGTCCACAATTCTACACTTCTCAGTACTGAAACTCACTCAAGACTCTAGTCCTGCCACCAAATTCCCTTAAATAAATAAATAAAACATTTAGTAGAATCAGCTCCTTCTCTACATCACAAGTGAACCCAGAAATATAGTTATCGAGAGAAGCCTCCAAAGTGCTACAACATTGAAAATATCCCAAATTATACTACTGAAAAGCCCTATAATCACACAGTTCTGTTAAAAATTTAATCTTTCATCCATTTTTTAACCTTTTTCACCAATTCCACATGCATAAAATCCAGTAATCAATCTTCTGTGAGCCAATCTATCAAAACCCCTCAAAATGTTAAAATGTGTAGAGTAAGATGACTGAGGTGCTGACATCTGAATAGGGAAAGTCCTATCAATATGCTCCAGTACACTACCAGTTGACTCCCAGTAACAGAACCAAAACCAATAGTCGGGAAAGTCCTATCAATAAGCTCCAGTACACTAAGTGTTTCTACCAATTGACTCCCAGTAACAACCAAAACCAATAGTCACCGGCTAGAACCAAGTCCGGCTAGAACCAAGTCTGTACTAGAACCAAGTACGGCTAAAACCAAGTCTGTACTAGAACCAAGTCCGGCTAGAACCAAGTCTGGCTCAGAGCCAAGTCTGGCTAGAACCAAGTCTGGCTAGAACCAAGTCTGGCTCCGAGCCAGCAGCATACCCCCGACACATATAATTTGCTACAACAATTTAAGATTGGCTTATATTCATAAAAAAAGGTAAATCCCCCAGAAAGTTATCTGCACACACACCCCAAGAGTAGACATATCACAGGTTGGAAACAACTGATTTAGGTAATGAAATACTATCATATCTCAAACTTCAGGACACAGACCTA